CACAGTCTAATGGAATAGAATGCAGAGCCCATAAATAAACCCATACAAATACACTTAACTAATATTTGACAATAGAGCCAAGAATACCCAGTGGGGAAAAGATAGTCATTTCAATAAATGGTATTGGAAAAACTGGATATTTACATGCAAAAGAATGAAATTGGCTCTCTCTCTCTCTCTCTCTCTCTCTCTCTCTCTCTATATATATATATATATATATATATATCACTCACAAAAATTAACTTGAAATGGATTAAAGACTTAAATGTAAGGCCTGAAATTCAAACTCCTAGAGGAAAACACCATGACATTGGTCTCTGTGACCATTTTTTAGGTATTACACTAAAAGCACACTCAATAAAAACAAAAATAAACAAGCAGGACTACCTCAAATTAAAAAGCTTCTGCACAGCAATAGAAACAGTCAACAGAATGAAGAGGCAGCCTATGGGATAGGAGAGAATATTTGCAAACCAGCTAATAGATAAGGGGTTAATATCCAAAATGTATAAGGAATTCATACAACTCAATAGCAATAATAATAATAATCTGATTTTTAAATGGACAGAGGGCATTTTTTCAAAGAAAACATACAAATGGCTAACAAGTACATGAAAAGATGCTCAATATCACTAATCATCAGGGAAATGAAAATCAAAATCACAATGAGTTATTACCTCACACCTGTTAGAATGGCTATTATCAAAAAGACAAAGGATAACAAGTGTTGGCAAGGTTGTAGAGAACCCTGTACACTGTCAGTTGGAATGTAAATTGGTGCAGCCACTATGGAAAAAGGTGTGAAAGTTCCTCAAAAAATTAAAAGTAGAACTCCATATGATCCAGCAATCCCACTTCTGGGTATATATCAGAAGGAAACAAAACCACTATCTTGAAGAGATAACTGCACCCCTGTGTTCATGGCAGCATTATTCACAATAGCCTAAACATGGAAACAACCTAAGTGTCCATGGATGGATGAACAGATGAGATATACATATAATGGAATATTGTAGAATGGTGGTTGCCAGGGGCTGGAGAGGTAATGGGGAGATGTTGGTTGAAACTTGCACTTAAAAGATGAATAAGTTCTGGATATCTAATGTACAGCATGATGATTACAGTTAACAATACTGTATTATATACTTGAAAGTTGATGAGAGAGTAAATCTTAAATGGTCTCACCATCAAAAAAAAAAATTATGTGAGGTGATGGATGTGTTAACTAACCTTATTGTGGTAATCATTTCACAATGTATACATGTATCAAATCTTCACGTTGTATATCTTAAACTTACACAATGTTATATGTTAATTATATCCAATACATCTGGAAAAAAAAACTTAAAGAGGAGAAGGGGGGGGGGGTTAGTTCTACATAAGGTGAAAGGCAGAAGAATCACATAATGTCACCACCCAAAGGGTTTCTTAATCATCTATTCAGGTATTTTAAGTTGGCATCCCAGTGGACTATATTCATTCTGAGATAAGTTCTCTTTGGCCAACACAGGGTTTTTGTTTTGTTTTAACTAACCCAACTTTATTTATAAAGTTCTGAAATCCCAGACTCTCTGGAAAGATGGGAAGAGCTGACAAAGCAGAGTCCATATTCCAAGCTGTCAATAATCATTGGCTGAGATTTAACAGGAGGGAATCCCTTTAGACCTTCAGTCTCCTGCCACAGTTTCCAGTTCCAATTCTGTAAAGCCAGAGCTTCCCTCTGTGCTTTGCAGCTACCAGTCATCAGAATTCGCAGGTCCTGAGAGTTTAATCCCCTTGCTCAATGTGTAAGGAAACCAAGGACCAGAGAGGCAATAGAAATTGCCTAAAATCAGAGCCTGTTGTAAACAAAGTGGAGGGCTCGGGCGTCCCCCTAAAGACAGGAGGAGGCCCAGCTGGGATGGTCTTTGAATGACCAAGGACTTTGGCAGTTGTGGACATCTCAGGTTTTAGTGAGGACTTCGGGATCGGAGCTTTGAGCAGGGTAAGCTGCCCCCGGTCCCCAGCTTCCTCCCGGGGGTCTCCTCCCCCACAATCCTAAAGTCCCATTCTGCACTCGCCGGAGTATCCCCAGCACCAGCTCCCGGAACGATGGAATGCACCCTGGGCTCCTCCAGAAGGAGTCACTGTGTAGCAGGAGCGGACGCTGTCACTGGACTCCCTGGAAGACAGGATCCTCGGATCCTCGGCTCCTTCACTGGCGACCCCCTTGGGGCGCCACCTAGGGGTGCAGAGGGCCTCCCGGGTTCTTCGGAATCGCATTATCTAGAAGGCCAAATGTAAATTAGCTAGCTAGTGGGAAGCAGCTGCATAGCACGGGGAGGTCAGCTCGGTGCTTTGTGACCACCTACAGGGTGGGGTAGGGAGGGTGGGAGGGAGACGCAAGAGGGAGGGGATATGGGCATGTATGTATATGTATAGCTGATTCACTTTGTTATAAAGCAGAAACTAACACACCATTATAAAGCAATTATACTCCAATAAAGATGTTTAAAAAAAATAAAAGGCTACTGCGGGGGTACGGAGGGCTCAGAAACTCTCTAGAGGGACCCACCCGCGCCAAGGAGGCTAGAGCTCCATGCGTCCGGCGCCCGGGGAGCACCAGTTGCAGGAGCCGAGTGCCCACCCTTCGCCTCCGCGCAGAGACAGGCGGGGACCCCGGGGCGGAGCCGAGCGCGGGGCGGGAGCACTCGGCCGCGCCCCAGAAGCCGGGAAGAGCTTCGCGGGCGGAGCGCCAACTCTAGCGGAAACCCGGAGACCGCGACTCGCCTGGGAAGCGCGCTGAGCCAGGAAGAAAGAGGAACACCTCCTGCGCAGTGCAAGTGCGGGTCCCCGAGACCGCCAGGTGGACAGGGAAGCGCGGAAGCCCGTAGGTGCAGAGCTCCGCGCAGTCCCGGGGTTCCAGTGGCCGGGTGGGGGGCGTCGCCCGGGCTGAGGGGTCCGATGCCCACTTCTTTCTCTGGGGTCTTCGGGACGCTTTGCCTGCTGCCGCCCTAGGGATGCGCCCTGGCTGGCTCGCACTAGAGGTGTGGATGCCCTCAGATGACCAGGCCGGGGACCGTAGGCTGGGACTGGGCAGTGAGGCCGCAGACCGAGGGAGCCAGTGGGTGGGCGGGCGCCAAACTGCAGGGGAGGGCGTGGACGGGGGACACCCTCGGGAAGGTGAGCAGGAAAGGGGAGGAATTTTCTCTGGGAAAATTCCCGTTCACCGTCTCCTCCCTCCACCCCCAGTTTTCTTCCCGCCCGGAGATCCCACAGGCTTTGCTTCTCGAGCTTAAATTTCCGACGATTTCCGCCCCTGCTGGGGCAGCGCCTCCGGGAGCCGCGCGGCCGTGCCGGGTGGTTAATAAGGGAGAGGAAGGACGGGGATCTTGGAGCGGGCTGGTCAAGGGCAGCGAGTGCATCCAGCGGTAACGGGGAGGGGACCTGCTCTAGCCCGGGCGCCCGCTGTCTCCTCGCGGGTCCCGGGACCTAAGAGCAGCCGAACGTAGAAGCCGAGAGGGCGCAACTCCCGCTTCTCCGTCTCAGGCTGTGCAGTGTCTGTGGGGGTTGGGGTGTCGCGTGAGACGGAGAGGCGACCCAAAAAGAGGACGCCCCCAGCTGCGGTTTTGAGCCTCCCCTCGGGTATATAGTAGGCAGGCGCGCCGCAGGTTGGAGTGTCCCCGCCACCCTGCGACTGCTGTCCCTTCCGGGAGCAGTTCCTGTCCTTCGTTCTCCCTCTCTTCTCAGAGGGCTGGGCCAAACCTACTGTCCAGTTTGGTCCACTTCTTGCTTCCAGCATCCCACAGCCCCCACACTTGGAGTCCTTTCCAGGTGTGCTAAGAGGTGGGGGAAGGTGGTTCATGGCTGGATGGCCGGGAACCCCATTCCGCAGGTGCTGGATCTGGGTTCTTTTTCCAGTCGGTCAGACACAGCGAACCCAATAGTGCCCCATCTCCTGAGGGCTCAGTACTTCAGAGACTTTATTTCCTCCCCCGCGGGCATCTGGAGGCACCAAAAATGTAGAGGACTTAGGCCATAAGAGACAGGTCAGCCCTCAGGCCCTCCTGGGTCCTCACTGACACTTCCCCCACGCCCCTTGGGTGGCTGTTTTCAGTTAAGCGAGGTCTTGGAGCAGCCACCACTTTCAGAGGACACAGACTTTGGTGACAAGATGTGGTACCTCCCAATCAAGGCTGATTCTGGAAGGGGAGCTGGGGGCCTGGTGAAGGGACAGCTCAAAAGAGTGGAGACAGGGAAGGGGAGCAGACAGAGGACTTCTTTCTAGAGCGGCCCAGTAGCGCAGCAGAATTACCTCTCACCCACAGGCCCCTCCACCTGCAGAGTCCTGGTCAGGATCCTCATTCATTCCTTCAGCAGATTCCTATCCAGCCCCTACTCTGTGCCAGGCCCTGGGCTAGGCAACAGGAATTTGGTTTACAGGAAAACTGGGATTCAGAGAGCATAAATCACTGGCCCAAGTTGACTCAGCCTGTCCGTGTGAAAATTGTGACTTCCAAGTCTGTGGACTGGCCAGGACAGAGGGAGCAGTCCCTGCTTTGGGGGAAGGACCCTGCTGTATCACCATCCTCTGGCTTCATTGTCCCTGGCCAACAGCTGGCACAATGTTGTGACTGCCATAGAGTCCTGGGTCAGCTGCCTGAGCAGCTGGGAAAAACTTACAGAAGACCCCTGTGGGGGCTGCTGGGGGGAGGGGGACTAGGCAGTCAAACTGGTCCTGGTCCCTGGACAAAGGGCAAAGATACACATTCTTCTTGGGTGTCTCTGGGGAGTCCAATCCATCCCATGCCCAGTCCCTCTCGATAGCCAAACAGCCAATAGAGGGTTTCCCAATTTCCGGAACTCATGTGTCCTCCCCTCTGTGCCGCGGGTAGTTCTGTCTGTGGGTTAGACACTGTGTCTGGTTGGCCTATACCTGGGAGAACTCTGGGAGGATGCTACCAGGTGTTCTCCTATATTTTATCAACTGGTCGTGTCTCCTTCCAGGATCCATGATGGCGTCTTGACTCCCCACAGATGTGGGCAGGGTGCTAAGATCTCTGACCTCATGAAAGCAGAGGGTCTGGACCCCCAGCTCAGAGTACTCAGACCGCGGAGACTCCTGCATACCACTCACTGGCAAGCTTCACCATGGCAGCCCAGAATGGAAACACTAGTTTTGCAGCTAACTTCAGTATACCCCAAGACCATGCCTCCTCCCTCCCCTTCAACTTCAGTTATGGTGATTACGACCTCCCTCTAGATGAGGATGAGGATATGACCAAGACTCACACCTTCTTTGCAGCCAAGATCATTATCGGGGTGGCACTTGTGGGCATCATGCTGATTTGTGGCATTGGCAATTTTGTCTTTATCACTGCCCTTGCCCGCTATAAGAAGCTGCGCAACCTCACCAACCTGCTCATTGCTAACCTGGCCATCTCCGACTTCCTGGTGGCCATTGTCTGCTGCCCCTTCGAGATGGACTACTATGTGGTGCGCCAGCTCTCCTGGAAGCACGGCCATGTGCTCTGTGCCTCTGTCAACTACCTGCGTACCGTCTCACTCTATGTCTCCACCAATGCCCTGCTGGCCATCGCTATCGACAGGTGAGGATGTTGGGTAGGGGTAAACAGGGAGGTGGCCCAGGTTGCCTCTTTCCTCACTTCAGCTCTAAACGTTGGCATTACTCCAGATTCAAATGCGTGCCCATCTATCGAGGCAAAAGGAGACTTGGTTTCTCCAGTTGTGGCTCATGTTCTCCCAAATGTGGACAAGAGTGAGGCTCCTGAGCCTCCCAGCTCTGGGCCATGCCCCCATACACCACATCTGCTTCAGATACAGGCATGTCATATAACCATGAACCTCACCAAACACAAAAGCAAAAGCAGCATTTTAGGCAGGTTACTACTTAGAAGCCACATTAACTAGGTTAGCCAAGGCAGCTTCAAGTCAAGATAGCATGTGCGAAGTTTTTCCTGTAACCACTACCCAAAGATATAGAACATTTCCATCCCTAGAAAGTTTCCTTGTGCCCCTTACCAGTCATTCCTCCCATCCCAGGCAACCACTGATCTGATTTCTAGCGTCATAGTTTAGTTTTGCCTATTTTTTAACTTCGTAAAAATGGAATCATACAGTATGTACTCTTGTTTTTGGTGACTTTGTGGCAGAGCTGATTTTAAAATAAGATTACAGGGTTCAGTTGCAAAAAAGAGGGAAGGACATTCTTGCCTTTCTTTTTTGCATACATCCATGTGCTTATTTGCATATATTTGCATGACATGTTCTGTAAGTCCTTGATCTATTGTAAATTTATAAAGTAAAATTTCTAATAGCAGCTTCAGACAAATCTGATACATGTTTTATTTATGTAAATAGCTGTAGGCCAGCACTGGACTACCAGTGGCTCTGCTTGAGGGGGGCAATTTGTGTCACATCTTCTTGGTCCACCATTGTGAGTTATGCTCATTTTGATGATGTGTTTTTAATCATCTTTTTCCCTTTTATCTCCTTTCAACTCCAGTTTTTCCCTTATTCTCAGTGCTATTTAGGTCTGTGGTCCTTTTTAATCAACCCGGTGATTATTTTTCATTTATGATAATATAATACACATACAGGTATAAGAGGCATCTTCCTATTTATAACTAATTCCTGCAAGAAAAAACAATTTTGTTATCACAACTTTGAGGCTCGTAAGCTCTGAACCCAGTGTTTATGAAACTTACCTATTAACCAAATGCACAAAATTCCCCAGGGGAAATGATACAAAGTATGTTTGGTACAATGGTACAAAGTCAGATTCCTGGGCCCCTACTGAATGGGAATTCCCTGAGCTAGGACCTAGGCATCTGCATTTTACCCAACCCTGAATGATTCTGATGTTTACTCAAGTGAGTTACCACTGTTCTCATCACCTTTGTTCCATTGAAACCTTTGTCTTCCTAATGTAGTTGTGGGGTTTTTCTTTCTTACTCTTTCTTTCTTTCTTTCTTTCTATCTTTCTTTCTTTCTTTCCTTCTTCCTTCCTTCCTTTCTTTTTTCTTTCTTTCTTTCTTTCTTTCTTTCTTTTCTTTCTTTCTTTCTTTCTTGTTTCTTCTTTCTTTTGTAACATGGGAGATTCTCAGGAAGCAACCATTCTGTTACAATACAGAGTGGTTCATTTTCCACCCCAAACCAGCTCTGCCTCAGTCAGCTTCCAGCTCTGTCAGCCATTCCACCATCTCCCAGTCACCCAAGCAGGAGATACTACCATCATTCTTTTCCTTTCTCCCTGTTCTACTGCCACCCACACACCCCTACACCAGGTGCAGCCCTACCCCAGGTCCTGGCAATAGTCCCTCCAGCTTCATCTCTTGGCAAGTCATGGCTGGACCATCATAATTCTCCTCTAACTTGTCTCTTCACCCCTTCAGGAGCCCCTGACTGTCCCTTGGAATCTATAGTCATCCATATTAAGCATCAGAATATCACCACTGAAGAGTCTTTCTAATATATCTCATTCCTTACAAAACCTCCAAAAGTTTCGATGCCTATAGAATACATGCCAAATCCTGAGTCTAGCACCCCAGAGTCTTTGTAATCTGATGCCAATCTGTCTTTTAATCTCATGCTGTGTCTGGGGACACAGACGGTCTTTTCCAAAGGACATTGTGTTTTAAGCATAATAACCATTCCTATCTTCATGTTTCCATAGTGCTTAGTGCAGAGCCTCAAACCTGTGCCTTAGTGTGGTTTACCCCTAAAATAGACCCTGAGACAAGGATTCATGTGCAGGTAGCCCTCAGTAAGCACCTGTAGGGAGATAGGAAATGAGGCAGTCAAGGGAAGGCAGTCAATACAAGCTGTGTTATTGAACAAGTTTCCACTGTGCACAGCTGATGCTTATTCCTGCCACAGAACTCTTGGAGCTGGTGTAGATCACACCTCAGAGTTCTCCCAGGAGTGAGAGGGTGGGAGGGAACTAGGATATTTATACACCAACCCTCATAAGTCATTTGTGAGGGCCACTCTGGAAATTCTGTGCAAGTTACCAAGAGGAATCTGGAAGCCAGAGAAGGCCTTCCAACAAAGAAATGCAGGTTTTAGCAGGTGGCAGTGGACAGGCATACAGTGAAGTGATAAAAGCAAAGGGATAATAGAGGGGCACCAACAGCATCTGCTACAACCTGGTAGATCTACAGGTTGCTGGGTTCTACTTTGTGCCCAACCTATACGTATGGAAACATAAAGTAGTAGAAGACACAGTCTTTGACCTCAGGGAGCTTTTCTTCCACACAAAAACTAGAATAATCTAGTGATAAGTGAAGAGTAACTCAGAGAAAGACAGATGATTATGTTAGTGATGCAGTCTGGGAACGCTTCATGAGGAAGGCATTGCAATTCAAGTGTGCTATTCTGACCACCTCCTATTCACCCCGTTGATGAATGCAGGACTCTCCAGCACCAATAGTAGTAGATAACTGAACCCACAACACCTCAAACTAGAACAATGAGGGTGAAAGCACTTGGCTGGTCTCATATACTGCCAGCCCAGGGGAGGAGGACACTGCACACCAGGCAGGGTCACGTGGGAGCTGTGCTTGGGAATAGAATGAACCAGCAGGGGATGTGAGCAGCAGGGTCTATAGTGACAAGAGGCTGAGGTGACCCTTGGCTCCCATGGGAGGATGTGATTGACTTGTTTGGATGATTTTGCCAACTGGCAGGGAGGTGAAACCCATTAGGTTGAGGATTGGGGGTGCAGCTATTCCCACTGATAGAGGAACTAGCAGGACAAGAGCGTTTCTCACTGGGTGGAGGGATATATCTGGTGAAAACAGAGGAACTCACAGCTAGGCTTTTGGGGCCCTGTAGATGTCAAAGCAGCATATGGAATTTCAGCCCTTACAATCCAGGACCCTAATAAATAAATAGCACCCCTCTTTCTCACTCAGTTTCAAACCAACTGAAAAATAAGGCAAAATGATAAGAAAGATGAATGATGTCCAAACTCTCACTTTTGCTGAGATGACACTAATTAAATAATGGGCTTGTATCTGTAGGCATGGGGACCACAGCTTACTCAGAATTAGATAAACCTGCAAACCCTGACACAGGTAGCAGCAGAAGAGCAAGGTTCATGTGCAGAGGGCCTAGAAGGGATGATATTTGAAGTCATAGAGAACCCAGAAAAAGAGTGTTGACCTCAAGAAACACACATCCAAGCAGATAGATGGCAACAAAGACTTTGCAGATATCCCTCTTGCCAATGAATGAGTCATGCGAAAAGATGGGTTTAAACAAAGTATTATAGCTTCCACCATGCTTTATGTACATTTACCTTCTCAAATAGAATCTTTCAAAAAGCCTACAAGATTGTCTGTAAAGTTATTTTTATCTCCCTTTCACAGATGAAGAAACTAAGTCCCAGGAGCATAAGTAATTTATTCAAGAATTTAGATGCACAGCTGAAATCCAGGGCTTCTGAATAATGCCTAGGCCAATGTTCTTTATTTTATTATTTAGCTGATGACAACTCTGAATTTTGGAGCATCCTATAGGATAAGGAATTAGAATTTAGGAGTTGACAACAGATTAAGCAGGGCTGTGGAAGTTCTCTTTGACATTGGTTACTGAGATACTTTTCATGCAAGAACCAGACTGAGAGAGTTATTAAGTCTTGAATTAGTTCTGCATTATCTAAGGACTTTGGACTCAGTATGATAGGCAGAATAATGACACCCCCAAGATATCCACATCCTAATCCCCAGAATACGTTATGCCTAAGGGGAATTAAGATAGCAGATGGAATTAAGGTTGCTAATTAGCTGATCATAAAATAAGGACATGAGACTGGATTATCCAGGTGGGCCCAGTGGTCCTTAGATGTGCAAGAAGGAGGCAGAAAAGTCAGTGTCAGTGATGTGTTGTGGGAAGGGCTTGACTGGTTACTGGTGGCTTTGAACATGAAAGGGGGCCCTAAACCAAGGAATGCAGGCAGCCCTAGACAAGAAACAAATGAGATTTTCCCCTCAGAGCCTCCAGAAAGGAACACAGTCCTACCAACAACTTGATTTTAGCCCAGTGAGACACATGTCAGACTTCTGACCTCCAAAACTGTAAGATAATTAATTTGTGTTGTTTAAGCCACTGAGTTTGTGGTAATTTGTTACAGCAGCAACAGGAAGCTGATACACTCAGTATCACAGAGAGACAGTGATTGTGAGATGTCCCTGCCCCAGTGAAAGATTGGCTAGCCCATTTGTCCCAATCTCCAGCCCTGTGAGCCTTGCGCTACCCAGGCAAGTCACGCAGGTTAACTTGGAAAAGCTGGGTCCCATGGATGGGTGAAGAACTCCAGTAAGCACTGCTTATTAATATATACAGCTAGGGTGTAGCCACTGGTTGGGATGGGATGCAACTTTATCTCATGTCTTCAGAAAGCTGCAAGCTGGGGAGAGCCAGGCTGCCATGAGATCTCCTAATTGAAGTCTATAGAGTCAGAGCTGCCAGTGGGCAAGGGGAAGGCAAGAGCCAATAAAACAATCTTATGACAGACATATTGTCAGGGACAGATAGAAATAACATGGCAGAAGGCCTTCTTGGTCAAGTCAGAAACTTGGAAAGGTGACCAAAGGGTCTTGTTACAATAGAAGGGTAAATTGGATAGAATTTCTATGGGTGGCTTCCTGCTCTTGGTCATAACCTGACTCAAGCTCCAGGTAAGGGGTACATATTCATTTCCAAGGTTGTATTGTTTCTTCCCTACCCTTCATGCCTCTTTTCTTCCTCCACCTTCCTCCACCACCTCTTCCTCCACCTTCCTCCACCACTTCTCCCTCTCACTCCATAAAATGCACAGGAATGATTCCAGGGCACTAAATTACCTAAATAGGTGTTGTTAGGTTTTTCTGGAAAGAAGGTATTCAACCTACACAAATGAGCTCATTTCCCACAAAGGGCTCCAACCTCTTTCCCAGGCAGCGTTGCTCATTGGAAAGAGCAGGATAAAAGTTTTATGCTGTGTGCTGCTTTATGGTGTCAAGGCAACTTTACACACCTTCTCATCTGAGCTTGAGACAGCCCAGGGAGTTGGGTGTAAAAGTTTTGTATCAGGAGCCTGGATTCTGTTCCCTGCACCAAGTGAGCTTGGGCAAGTCATTTACACCTCACTAGATTCCTCAGATTCTACCCTTAGTCCACTCCTGCTCTGTAATGCAGGATGACATCTGAGGGGAGGAGAGAAAAATTCCTAGTCCACAGCTCTTCTTTCACCTCTACACTAGAAGATATTTGGATTGAAGGGTTTTGAAAGAATTATGTTCTTAGGCAGAATGGCAAGCTGGAAAGCCAAGGTGGTATCAATAGGGCTTATAATCATGATAGGCCACATGTACATGCCACACCTAGTACATGCCAAGCATTTCACAAACATTATAATATTTAATATTCACAGCAGCCCTGCAAGGTAGGTGTCATTTTATTTCATGTTGCACCTGAGGAAATGAATCTCAGAGAGACTGAGTGATTCACTCCAGCCAAGATTTATTCTGTCTGTTTGACCCAAATCCTGTGCTGTTTACACTAAATCACTCCTCTCCTCCAAATGCCAAATGATGTTGCTAAAATAAGATGAAGCACGTTGATGCTGGAAAATTAGGTACGTGGGGAGTCATTGTGCCATTTTGTCTGCTACTGTGGGTGTTTGGGTTAGTTAAAAACCAATAATGATTACAAGCACACATCATTATTACTGATAGCTTCCCTCCCCCACCAGATATCTCGCTATCGTTCACCCCTTGAAACCACGGATGAATTATCAAACAGCCTCCTTCCTGATCGCTTTGGTCTGGATCGTATCCATTCTCATCGCCATCCCATCAGCCTACTTCACAACGGAAACCGTCCTCTTTATTGTCAAACGCCAGGAAAAGATCTTCTGCGGCCAGATCTGGCCAGTGGACCAGCAGCTCTACTATAAATCCTACTTCCTCTTCATCTTCGGCATCGAGTTCCTGGGCCCGGTGGTCACCATGACCCTGTGCTACGCCAGGATCTCCCGGGAGCTCTGGTTCAAGGCAGTCCCTGGTTTCCAGACGGAACAGATCCGGAAGCGGCTGCGGTGCCGCCGGAAGACGGTGCTGGTGCTCATGTGCATCCTCACGGCCTACGTGCTGTGCTGGGCGCCTTTCTACGGCTTCACCATCGTGCGCGACTTCTTCCCCACTGTATTCGTGAAGGAGAAGCACTACCTCACAGCCTTTTATGTCGTCGAGTGCATCGCCATGAGCAACAGCATGATCAACACCGTTTGCTTCGTGGCCGTCAAGAACAACACCATGAAGTACTTCAAGAAGATGCTGCTGCTCCACTGGCGGCCCTCCCATGGCGGGAGCAAGTCCAGCGCTGACCATGACCTCAAAACCAGCGGCCTGCTGGCCACGGAAGAGGTGGATTGTATCAGGCTGAAGTGACCCACTGGTGTTTCGTAATTGAAAACCCAAAAGCCAGTACTTAGAGCACAATTCACCAATAACCAAGTTCACAGACTGCTTGGGGAAAGGACAACTGTGTTCACACCTCACTGCTCTCAAGGAGCTGGATGCTTCTGGAGTCATAAAATGTGATGCAACTAGACACAAACCACAGCAGCTGACATTTACTGATAGCTGCTCAACACCTACTGTGTGCACAACCACACCAGCGAGATTAGATAAGGGCAACAGGAGCTGACATTTACTGATTACCTACTGTGCAAAAATATTTAAATAGCAAAATGAAATGCCAGAAGCCATTGGAGTCATTAAGCTATATCCAGATATTTAGGTGGTCAAACAGAGGCCACAGATGGTTATCTAGACTCATTCTTCATCTTCCCTCATTTTATATCTGGCCAGTGCAGGAAAGTCAAAGCCTACAGAATGCAGCACAATGGAGATAAAAGGGTGAATTAGAGGGTGGGGTTTACAGCCTCATGGGAAGACAATTCACGCCATCACACTGAGCTTTCCCACCCAGATCTTATGACCTCCCTAGAACATTCTCTAGGATTCTGGCTGCCAGAAAAGAATTTTTCTCATAACCAGGTCATTGGTTATCTATAATGGTGTAATTTCAAAGGAAAGAACCAAAAAATTTTCTTTTCCACTGATGCTTGAAAACTCATCATTCTTTTGGGTGAAGACAGACAATCCTGAAATGAGGAACACATCCAGTTCCTGAAACCTTAACGTGAAGGATGTCAGCAGCTCTAGTGTCAGTGAGTAAGGGGACAGAGAAAGGGGTCGAGTTTGCCACTGGCAATGAACGTAATCTGTGTGGCTATTTTGCTAAGGCCTGGGCCACTTTTCTAGAACACACCCTTTCTTGCAAAGACGAGCTCTACTTGGAATCCAAAGACCTGGGTTCAAGTCCTAACTCATGTGACCTAGATGTTTACTGTCTCTGCATCTCAGTTTTGTTCAACGAAACAAGGATGATGAAAATATTTTCTCTGCCTGCCTTACAGGACTGTTGGGCAAGCCCACTGAGGTCATAGTTTGTAAAAGTGCTTTTCAACTATACAAGTGATGAGAATGGAGAAGAGATATTGAATGATTTGTTTGGACCCCATCCACTGTGGCTTATTATGGAGAAACACTCCCACTTTTTCATCCTTAGTCTATGGACCAGTGATCCCTGAACTCTTCTCAGTGCAGTCCATCTACATCAGGGCAAAAAAGGAATCCTTGTCCTGGGTTATAATCAGAAAGATTCAACTTCAGAGTCTCAGTTACCCACACCCCACTCCAAACTTTCAGTATCCCTGTGGTCATAGAACTGTTGATAGTCTTCCCTGCATGTTGCTAAACAGCACATCCCAGGGCTGCCTAAGTCTGTTTGTATAATCACACACCTGTGGTAATTGTGCATAGTTGTCTTCATTTCTTCCTGATTCATTTTGAAGCAGAGTCTATACAAATGGTTTGGGATTGACCCAAATGACCCACATTTGGGCAATTCCTGCTCTTCTATAGTGACGGGGTTATTTAGTTGTTTGCTTGTCTGTGTGTGTATGTGTGTGTGTTTAATTAATTGTTGGTGTTTTTAATCCAACCGTGATGTTTCAACCAACATTTTCCTCCATCACCACCCAGCATGTTCACCTTCAGCCCAATCATTGTACCCTCAGAAAATGCAAACTCACTTTAACATTAGGCTAAGCCAAATTGTTTATAAATTCTGATTAGACAAAATTACACAATGCATTCTAAAGCCAAGCAAGTAAATATTTTGGGGTTATCTGCATTTTCACAAATATGATAACTGCATTTTTATTTATTACCCCTGTCCTGACTCTTCTCCTAAAGATGATTCTTTAAGAGTACACTGTTACCAATTGTGTCTGTCAAAAGAATTCAGTCCCTTTTTCCTTTTTATACTAAAACATACCATCCTCCCTTCATTTAAATTTAACTGAAACAACTTTTGTAACTATTGGTGAGATTTGTGATTTTCCAGTGAATTAAAGTGTTATGCTGTTATCAAATGAAATTATTAACATATGGAATCTTAACCACACTGTTGAAGCATTTTCCCTGCTAATCTTCTATATGTTAGTATATTTAGATATCAATGAAGTGATAGCCATTTAAACAATTCAACCTTGCAACAGAGAAGGAAGTTCTTGAAGGCATTTTTAGAACAGTGGCAGCTCACACCAGCAACGAGCCTCATCTTGGTCACGTCCCTCAAGCTGCCAGCCCAGGAGTGTACTCATGCATGCAAATAAATCAAAGAACCGCTACTCCATGTTCACGTTACCCTTTCATTTTAAAATCATCTTGTTTGTTTAATGAAAACTGCTGTTTGCATGGAGACTGTTCATTCCTCTAACTGGTGTTAACGTAATAAATTAATTGCACTTGTGCTTACACTTTTCTCTTCAAGACTAATTAATACTAAGCTTAAGATACTTTTAATGCACTGAGATATATAAACATTCATATATACTATTATATATTGGAAATTTAATCTCCTTTGGCAAAATGGATCCATTTCCTTGGCCAGAATAAGAGAAGGATGGCTTTGTGATGAAGCTATTAGATTTTTCTTTCAGCATCCAACATCAAAAATAAGTTGATTCTCAAGTTGAAATCAAAAGATGGCTTCAGGCCCTTCATGGATAAAAACCAATTGCAGACTTCTGAAGGAAAAAGTGACACATGAGGTGGTTAGAAGACTTAAAGTAGTTCTATTTCTAGGGGAAATTTTTGGCTTTGAATCGTATCTCCTCAATTTAACTGTTATCTCTCCCTTGGGCTCAGGAAAACACACACACACACACACACACACACACACAACTACACCTCAATAGGACACCAAAGCAGGAAAAGGCCTTTTAGGACATGTAACTCAACTCACTCCTTTCTTAGGTGAGAAGATCTGAATTTCAAATGAGGAAATGACTTGCTTAAGGATGCACAGCTAACACTAACATTTGCTGGAGCCACAACATTGCCCCCAGGTCTCACTCTGGTCTAGTGAGCTGCATTCAGTAACTGCCCTCCTGTGTCCAAAGGAGGGGACTTCCTCTAAGAATGTTTAAAGGGCCATTTAAACTGGTTTCTGACCTCCTGGGAGAATCTTAATCTGCACAAAAGATACCTTCCTTCCTTCTGGCAAGCAAAGAGTGCATCCATCCAAGGGACTTCATAATCTAGACCCCAGGGTTCCAGAGAAATCAGAATTACACCAGGGTCACTCTAGCGCTCCTGCCTTTCTTTTCTCCTATTGAGAGAAATGCCCCCTCAGGGAGAGGTCTGAGCACATTTGGCTTGAACATACATGGAACTATTTATATGTGATGCTGGAGCCATGTGGGAAAGCAGATTATGAAGAGGGGACCCTGGCCCTAGGAAAAGTAAGCGGTGGGGAAAAGGGCTTTCTCATATTCAAAGGCAAAGCAAGTCCAAGGCCAGAGTGTGCAATCATCACACAAGTTCCAGCTGGCTGATCCTGAGCAGTGGTCCTTCTTCATGCCTCCCAGGAACCAAATGCCTTCTGGTCACCAGGTCAGCCTCTCTCCTGAGGTACACCAACCAGGCTACACATCACCTCCTTGGGTTGCTTGAACCACTTACTCCTTTACAGATGCTTAAAGAGCTCCAAATACAGGACAATATTCCCGAGAGATAAGCTGGTGTAAAAAAAAATGTGTTTGGCACTTTCTTCAGATAAAACAAATTGGCGGGAGGTGAGGGATTCATTGGAACTTGAAAAGAATAAGTAGTTATCGAATAGAGGGAAGTAGGCAGGGGTTTGCCTCCAAGAAGCAGGTGGTCAGCTCTTGGAACAGAATTTCATATAGATGCAAGGTCTTTCCATCCCTTTGTTAACTGAATTTCCACGTATGAGTCACAGGCTGAGATGAAAGAGGTCATCTCCAGAATCTCATTTAATGCTGACTGTAGGTTACCAGCTCTGGATCCAGCTCCTAGGCAGGTTCCTGACACAATACTTTGACTGAACTCTGCAGCAGGGATGGTCCAGTGTGTGCAGAAGAAGGTCTTCCGCCCACTCAGCCAGTCTCTGTGCTGGCTGTACAAAAATGGGAGTGCAAGCCTGAATCTGAAAGTGACTCTTGAAATGATATATGATTAATTCCATGTTGAGGTTGAGATACCGTAAGCACAAAAATGGAGAGAATTTAGAAGACAGATTCTTTCTGGCCATGGGAATCAGAGAAACTTTGGAGTAGGGAAGTAGTTAGGCAGAGCTCTGGAAGATGGAGCATGGTGGGAAGACGATATTCTAGGCAAAGAGGACAGAATGAGCAAAGACATAGAAGAGGAGAAATGAGATAGAATATAAGTGGAACAGAAAATAGTTTGATTTGACAAACACATAGAATGCAGAGTGTTTAAAGGGAGAACAAACTCCAGCAGCAGGATGAAGAAAGAAGTGTACTGAAAGAGCCTGGGATTCACAGTCAGAATCATGTTCAAATAGTAAATCATACTTAACCATGCGAATTTTACTATACCCCTTACCCCTTCATCTATAAAATAGGAATGATAATAGTACTTACATCATAGGATTATATGTGGTTCAAATATATATCTTAGAAAAATGCCTAGCACAACATAAGCAGTCAATAATATTAGCTGTTATTTTTAGAATGATTAATTCTGGGAACAGAATTTCTCCTAGAGGAATCCAGAGTATTGTGTCACATATAATGGATATACTATTTGGGAATTATTCAACCAGAGTATTTTCATCTTCTGTGACTCCAAGTCTCTAGCCATCTTGGACTCCCAACTGTACCTGGCCAGCTCAAATCACAGGATATCTTCCATAGCATAAAGAAGATGCCCTTCCATCATTGAGACTGAACCAGAAAGATTAATGACCCTCAGGAAGGAGACAATGATGTAGGGGAAGTCCCTTCCACACAGGAAGAAGGAAACAGCGCCTACCCCTTCCAGTCCCCATGGTTGTGGGAAAGAAAGAAACAAGTTAAAGACCAGATGCATTTGTCTTTGCTTTCTCCTTCAGGGTCTAAATCTAGGTGGTGGAGGTGAGGATGCAATAGAAGCACCTAAGTAATAGAGAAGCCTAAGATCATGGGGCATGGGGGCACCAATGAAACACTTGCCCAGGTTTCACTGGGGGAGGCCCTAGACCTCTAAGAGGAGCCCAGCAGTGGAGGAAGCTGCAAGACAGAGGAGTCTGATGTAGCACCTTGATACCTCACAACAAGCAGTGAGGTGTAGGGATCCATAAATTCGCATGTGCCCCACTTAGGGGTCACAGATGGATGGACAGAAGCCTGGGGTTGGGTCAAAAAGGCCATTTTGTGTGAGACCTTTACAATCAAGTACAAATAGCCAGAACCATAGACTCCAAAAGACTAGTTGGAATGCATTATTTTTCAACAACTCATCCTGCAGCACGGCCAGCAAGGATCCAGAATCCACATAACAGCATGTGATTTTGAGAATTCCTTTTATGCTCCTCCAACATGCAGTCACGGAAACTCCACTATATTTGGAAGGAGTAAGAAGGGGCTGAAAACCAAAACATTTCATTTATCTGAAAGTGGGTGATTTAAGCTGAATGGAGTATACTTAAGTTCAAAAAGACTATATGTTATTAATAGCTAAGTTTAAGTTTGTTCTCTACCTCCCAATGAGACAGGGGTTCATAAAGCTTTGATCAGTGATAGAAAAGTCAAGAAGCTATGTTTTCTCCATACATCCAAGTGTCGTGTCAGCCAACACTGCACATATAACAAGGATGAAAAAGCAGCAGAAATTGGGGACTGGGATGGAGAGAAAAGAGGAAAAGAAATTGAAATCATGAAAGACTATATCTCTTAGTTTAAAAATGTATATCCCCCTAAAAGAAAGCCAATGGCTCTTTGGTGATGGAAGCTGGTGCTATTGTTGAAAATGAAGAAAGAATGAAAATATTAGGTAGGTGAGAAGTTAAGGATCCTTTAAGAAAATGATAGTTCTTAACCAGAGAATAGAAGTTCAGATACATTACTATAATGATATGTTTGCTTATTCCGATCCATGGCATGAATAAATTGAATATGTTTTATAGAGAAACAAGAAGTGATTCACAATACTTCCACAAAAGCTACAGACTGTGGAAAAAAATTGCATTTTATGGAAGAAATTATATGCTGTAGTGCTAGTGATACAATTGGGGATTTCCAAAGGTGGAGGATGAGTCCTTCATGAATGTCAAGGCTCTATCTTTTCTTTATCTCAGTTAAACTTTCAATACTTTGATATTTTGATTAGTTAGATTTATAGATGGTTGGAATAACATTGATTAAAGCATCTATGACCATCTAAAGATTTTATCCATTACTTGACTGAACCTAGAGAAGGCCAGATTATTAAAGGTCTGGACCCCTGAATGGGGATATGCAGTGGACAGGAAATAATTGGATGAATTCCTTCTCATTCGAGCTCATTGTTTGAGCTACATCAGCTAACAGGAAATTTTGCAAAAGGCTTCAAGCACGATTTGGCATTCTCACTCAGTATGCCTGAAGTTCTGCATTTTTATTTTATTTCAGCAAATGGTTATTGTTCCATATAGAGGCAGCTGTGAACTCTGGGAATTAGTTCTCCTCTTTCTCTTCCTCCTCATTACTATCATCACCATCTACCATCTGCAGAGAGTTGAGGGAGTGTCAGCGGGAAGAAGCAGAAAACTGCGGGGGTCCATAGCTGACCCAGGAAAGCATTGCCACCCACAGCTACACTGTTTTCACAACAGTATTTTTATTTTATAATTAGGCCATTGCTTTCCAGATCTCTGAGCTTCACTTAATGAAGGGACAACCCCAGCTTCTGCTCCATGGTTATTCTTATTATAGCAATCATAGAAATACATGGTGTTGATATTTCTGGTTCTCACATTACTCCACCTGAGCCTGACTTCTTTGCTCCAAGCAGTATTTTAGCTAAAAGTATCTCTTAACTTTGGGTTTACAAACCCACTGAAGTAGTTCTGAATGAGCCTTCTATTCCTCAGTATAGTAGGCTGAATAATGACCTCCTAAATATGTCCACATCCTAATCTCTAGGAACTGTCAATATGTAATCTTATGAGAAAGGAAACTTTGTTTGTATGATTAAGTTAACCATCTTGAGACTAGGAGATAATTTTGTATTATCTGGGGTGAGCCCAAAGTAATTACAAGCATCCTTATAAGAGGAATATAAGAAGGACAAAGTCAGAAAAATGAGATGTGGTGACAAAAACAGAGGCTGGAATGATGTGCTTTGAAGATGGAGGAAGAAGCCACAAGCCAAGGAATGCAGACACCTTCTAAAAGCTGAAAAAAAGCAACAAAACAAATTCTCTCCTAGA